ACACAAAAGCTCAAAGCTGTGCACATGAGCTCCAAATGCTCTATAAATAATTTGGAAAGCAATATTATCACCTCTGAAGGGCTTAGCCCAATTAGAATTTGACAAACTCGAATTGCAGCCAGGGCAAGCTGCACAGCAGAACCTGCCAGATAAAAAACATAGTTTTAGAAAGGAGCTACATTTTCTTATCAATGAGGTCCTTAAATGCAAGTGCATCTTCCACAGGGAAGGTCGAGGTCTTGTTAAGACAGGAGAATTGCCAGATCCACAGCAGGGACAGCCCATTTCTCAAAAAAGTTCCTAAACAGATACAGAGCTTCCAGCCACTGGGGGAGTGAACAGCTTATTTTTCAGTCTTCATAAAGCATAACTGGAAATAGCAAGTATACCAGAAAAATCATAGCAGACTTGGGGACCTTAAAGGAACCTAGATTGGGGACAGCACTGGTAGAAGCTACAAATTTTAGGTTTTAAGGTGGTGAGCAACACATCAAGAAGAGTCAAGATAGTCTCTATAAGTTTGGGAGTGATGTAAGAGGCCAGCGACACCTCTGGAGTAATGTTCTCCATTAAAGATCTAACAGACCAGGGTAAGTATTCTGCAGGGAAAGACAGTCACACAATATCATTTTTAGTGGCACCTGGAAAATTGTCACATGGCATGTGTGCAGGCTTAGACTGACCCCTGCTCCCTAAAAATACAGGGCCACTGCCATAGACTGTATTAGAAGGTTTATGGAGTTGTCAATGACACAGCATTGCCTGTTTCTCTGTGCCCATGGCCCACCTCCATTAAGTTTCAGAGAGGATTGTCTGGTGAAAAGGACATTCAGATGCCAATCCTCCTTTTAGTAGCAGTGTAGGTCTACCTACAGCTGCAGATATTGTTACTTGAAGAAGTTGCCTGACTCTTCTTTCTCCTAGTAGAACCGCCAGCTGCAGTAGGTGTGAATGTAAGCCCTCTGCATATCTGATGGTGCAGAAATTAGGGCTGATCTGGGAATAAAAGGAGCAGGAATTGGGGTTGAATTATGGTGTATTACACACTGGTTGCTGACATAATAAATAGGTGAATTCTATCAACCAATCATGTGCAAGGAAAAATTCTATTTTTATAATGGATAAGTTCATCTTTTAACAAAAAATAATGCATTCACATTTTTTGCAGGTAATTTACTATTTTGTATTTTAAGACCCTGGAAAGTATTGCACCAGCGGCTACAGCTAAAACGAACCCCTACAGAATGGATGGTGAACTATAAACTACTTGTGTTTTATGTTCCATATGAGTGATTGGCGCAGCATTTAACCTTACTTGGAGAAAGGAGCCAGTATTGAGGTGCGGATCCCTGGGGGGGGGAGATTCATATACAATGTGAGCAGTTGTTTGGAGTGATATTTACCTGGAGGATCTGTGAGAGGGATCCTAACAAACGCTTTGACTCGCAAGGGTCGAATCCTTAAGGTGAGAGGCTGATTCAGCCGGTGTTCGGATGATCTCAACTATCAACTCACTTCTATACACAAATATCAGCACGAGTGTTTTGTGTTCACCTGAGTGTGATCATTTTTAATTTTGGACTTTATATACACGGAAATATATGTTTTTTGTGTTTAGGTGCATGTATTGAGTTCACATATATGCACGTTTGGATTTTTTTCACTTTATGGGGTTTATATATATGTGTTAATACACATTGTTGATGTGTGTGTGTGTATATATATATATATATATATATATATATATACATAGATATATATTCATTTGCAATAAGCACGTAATATTTTTTAGTTGATATGATTATGTTCACTTTAGTGATTTAGGTTTAATCACATATATGTTTTATGTGCATGATTTCACATTAGTGGACACTTATTTCTTATTTGATATTTATTCACTAGGTATTTTGGTTCACATGTTAATTTTAATTTAAGTGAATAGCGCTACATTGGTTCCACATGTTTATCTGAAGATCATTGGTATATGATTTAATGTGAGCAGCTTCTCGGGATTACTTAATTAATTAATTTTTGAAGGTATTCTGAGCGCAGGAGGTTCACACCATTATTGCACCAGCGATCATCAGATTGCTAGTGCCATGCAGGTCTCCTGCAGATTGTCAATGTAACCTGCTCTTACCTCAAAAGTTTTACACTGACAAAAAGAATCAATGAACTACCACATTGCTAACAGCGCTGTGGTAGTTCATGGAGAACTACAAGCCAGTAGCCACAAAATCTGTTTGGATTTGTAGTTTCCTATTCACAGAACTCTGTGAATGAATGACTCAGTTAGGCAGGCGGAGCCCAGCATGGCCATGGTTTTAAAAAAACTGCAACAGCTAGCAGTCTTAATGGTGGATCGGGGGGGGGGGGGATGAATTCAGGGGGCCGGTATAATTGTAGCATGTTACATGTAACACCCTGAATATGGACCTATGAATGAAAGGTGAACTTATCCTTTAAACTTTCCTTGCACATGGCTGTGTATTCTTTACAGAGTAAACATTCATTTGTTTTACACTATTAAAAAAGATACATAAACATTCACTTTGCAAGGTGAAAATTCACTTTTTCTTAGATAAATAGGTCCAATATCTAAACACAGCAGCAATACACCCAGATCAGGCAAAACAATCCCAAAAATTACACTAAATGATGGTACAGTAAGTAACTGGGTGGCATTACATTGTAGAATTTTATTTTGACAAAGAACCCTCCAAAATCAGAGGAAACCTTTTCTGAGAGAAATATGATGGATACCGTCGCTGACTTCTCAGTTGACCAGTTATCATATTGTCTCTCCTGCTTTGCTACTTACCGTCACGCCCCTGATCGTACACAAATAAAGACTTCAGACTTTCCTTTATCTGCTGAAGTTGGAAAGTTCTGTATTTGTAGCATTTACCCCTGCAAAAGCAGTTGATATGATGGGTTCTGTGTTCTGCTACAACTCTTTAAGCTGCTCAGTCCCCACTGACACACCTGATCATAGGTTGAAGGCCGCTCACACATGTGTGACTTAAGTGTTAGTAGGCTACCAATCTAAACAGTACACAGAAAATAAGCCCCAACCAACTGGATGGTACATTAAATATGTAGATGTATTATGATAAGGCTGTTAAACAATCCTTTAGGGGTTGGCTGTACATGTTCGTTACAAGGGTACCCCTGGTGGTGGCTAAAAAAGTACCTGGTGCCTAGTTGGCAGTATTAGCCGACTATCGTTGGGACCCTTCTGTAAGCTGGTGCATGTGAAGCTGTCCTTTCTAGACTTTAAACAAAGGATGGTTAATTGGCATCTAAATAAGGAGTAGTCCCTATTGGGCACTGTGGGCAGTGAGGGGTTAAGCATAGTTGTTCTGCTCAACACTTGGTAGGCATTGGATCCGGTCCAGTGTAATTGGCAGTCTGTTGTCCCATGAAGCTAAGTCCTCATGATCAGGTCCTTACGAACAGGTCCTCACAATCAGACTCTCACAATCAGGTCCTCTCTGGCTCTCCCTGATTGTAGGCACGCATGGCAAGGGTTCCTCCAGCTTTGGTCTCAGCATGGCAGTAGAGCTTTTAGTGTCTTTGTCTCTGATGTGGGCAAAAACACCCCAGCAATAGGTCTGCTCTCTCTACCGTCACACAAAACACCAAAAAGGGCACCCCGGATTCCACACAGTCTCTGATCTCTCTGATGTGGTATACAGAGCCCAGCAATAGGTCTGCAATTTCTGGCTCCTTGTTCTAGACTGCCCCAATATCCCCAGAAATGTCTGGTAAAATTTGGGATGCAGGGATTTTAAGGCAGTAAAGTCCACAGTCTGTTAGTCCCCATTCACTTGTATTGTGCAGCACTCCCTAGGTAACTACCTTCAGTGTATTTTTGGTGCATTTTTGATGCGTGTTTAGTGCATTTCCATTGATTTCAATGGGAAGTATGTTTTTGTTGTGCTTCTTAAACAGGTCGCAGCACAAACACAGCACAGTTACATAGGATTTAATGGGGAATATTTTTCATGCACTTTTTGCGTTCTAGTGTGGCAAATGGAGCACCAGTGTGAAAGGGTCCTAAAGCTTTAAAAACCATTAACAATGCCAGCTCCCATATTTGTATCTTCATAGGTTTTTAAAATCCTAATGGATTGGACCTTATAGTATGGACAGTGTTGGTGTGTTGGATTTTGCATCCTTCCAACAATGACAGCTCTAGAAAATCTGTTTATGATCATTAGAATGTTTGGGGAAAAAAAAATAAACTTTTTGCTTTGATTTCTTCTTACCCCATATGTGTGCCTTTCCTCTGGCCACACACACAGCTTATGACAAGTTTACCAGCTGTCATCGCTCTCTTCACATCCTGCCCCTTGTCATGCAACACTCCGCCAGGACTTGAAACATCTCAATATAACTCAGAGATGATGGACTGTTATGCTGAACATCAACTGCCAGCAACGTTAATTAAAAAAGTTCAACACACATTAAATCACTCAGAATAAAAAGCCAACATATACATTATTAATCTAACATATGCTAATGATATAGCAGCGGTCAGCTGCACATCACATGACAATGACTGGGAATCACATACTATGAAAAAAGCATTATAATCATTAGCAAAATGTGCCTTTACCAGAATAGAAAATGCTGGGGCTGTAACAAATACTGCTAGAAAATGTTTTAAGCAACAATTTATGCTGGAATATAATGTAAACAGTATGATAGCAGGCAGTATGTGAAGCAGAGGGGTGTGGAGGGTTCAACATTGGGTAGAATGCACAGGAGAGAAGCGTATAGGGTATGACAGTAGAGGCAATTTGTGCAGGACAGGAGTGCGTGGAGGGTGTGGCAATAAGCAGTATGTGCAGGAGAGGAGTATGGAGGAAATGGCAGTGAGTAGAATGTGCAGGAGATTAGTGTGGATTGTATGATCATGGGTAGTTAGTGCAGAAGAGGGAGAAGGAGTGAGGCAATGAGCAGAATGTACAGGAGTCATACGAGTGTGGAGGGTATGACAATGAGCAGTATGTACAGGAAAAGAGTGTGGAAGGTATGACAGTGAGAAGAATGTACAGGAGATGAGTGTGGAGGGCATAACAGTGAGCAGAATGTACAGGAGATGAGTGTGGAGGGTATGACAGTGGGCAGTATGTGCAGGAGAGGAGTGTGGAGGGTATGACAGTGGGCAGTATGTCCAGAAGATGAGTGTGGAGGGTATCGCAGTGAGCAGTATGTGCAGGAGAGGAGTGTGGAGGGTATGACAGTGGGCAGTATGTGCATGAGAGAAGTGTGGAGGGTATGACAGTAAGCAGTATGTCCAGGAGATAAGGGTATGACAGTGGGCAGTATGTGCATGAGAGAAGTGTGGAGCGTATTACAGTAAGCAGTATGTCCAGGAGATAAGTATGATAGTGAACAGTATGTCCAGGTGATGAGTGTGGAGGGTATGATAGTGAACAGTATGTCCAGGTGATGAGTGTGGAGGGTATGATAGTGAGCAGTATGTGCAGGAGAGGAGTGTGGAGGGTATGACAGTGAGCAGTATGTGCAGGAGAGGAGTATAGATGGAATGGCAGTTGGTAAAATGTGCAGGACATTAGTATGGAGAGTATGGCAGTGGGCAGTTTGTGCAGGAGAGGAGTGTGGAGAGTATGGCAGTGGACAGTATGTGCAGGAGAGGAGTGTGGAGGGTATGACAGTGAGCAGTATGTGCAGGAGATAAGTGTGGAGGGTATACTAGTGAACAGTATGTCCAGGAGATGAGTGTGGAGGGTATGACAGTGAGCAGTATGTGCAGGAGAGGAGTATAGATGGAATGGCAGTTGGTAAAATGTGCAGGACATTAGTATGGAGAGTATGGCAGTGGGCAGTTTGTGCAGGAGAGGAGTGTGGATAGTATGGCAGTGGACAGTATGTGCAGGAGAGGAGTGTGGAGAGTATGGCAGTGGACAGTATGTGCAGGAGAGGAGTGTGGAGGGTATGACAGTGAGCAGTATGTGCAGGAGATAAGTGTGGAGGGTATACTAGTAAACAGTATGTCCAGGAGATGAGTGTGGAGGGTATGACAGTGAGCAGTATGTGCAGGAGAGGAGTATTGATGGAATGGCAGTTGGTAAAATGTGCAGGACATTAGTATGGAGAGTATGGCAGTGGGCAGTTTGTGCAGGAGAGGAGTGTGGAGGGTGTGGTGGAGGGCAGTAAATGCAGAAGAGGAGAGCTGGCTAAAGTGGAGAGGAGAGCCCAAAACAAAACAGGAGGAAAGTTTTGATGGAATTGGAGACAATGGCTGCTAAAAAGGAGACATCAAAATTTAAAGCAAGTTACTAGTAGGGATACTGTCATGGAGTCCAGGAACAGAGATTTCACTAGGGAAGCTGTGAATTTAATGAGGCCTTATTCTCTATAAGAAAATAAAACTGCTGTTAAAACAAAACTCTGATTTAGGCAGTATGATATTAAAGATTAACATTTGTGTTTTAAACTAACAGAACAAGTTTACATGTGTATAGTCTCTCTGTTGTCTGTGCATGGCCGTATGCCAAAAAGTATCCTCATTTGCACAGTTTTTTGTAATTTGGTTTTGTTTTCTAGTTTCTATAAACTATTATTTTTCTGCAAAATGTGCAAAATACTAAAGGACAAGACAGGATTTAAAGTGAACCTATGCAAGAATGTTGCAAACTAAAGTATTTATACAGTATATTCTGAACAAGCAATAAAAGCATGTCAAAACAAGTCTACAGTTACCTCTGTAGCTATAGGCACTGTGGATACTTTCATATTCCAAGTTCAAAACACAAGCATTGAAATCACAGATCACTGCCCCATTGCTTTCTATGGCAGCAGAATCTTGGCAGCCTGTCATCATTTTAAGGTAAACAAACACCAGATGCTAAAACCTGACTGACACCAACTTCAGAGTCTATTCTGTGGTCTTTGAGGATGGATGGCTTCACATGCCTACATGCCTCTAGAGAGGTCAGTATCGGTTTGTTTTAAAGCCCATTAACTGCTTGTTAAGCATATGTAAAAATTCTAATGTCCATAGTCTGGGCTCAGGTGTACTTTCATTTGCTTATTTGGATATTTGGATTTTAAGCCCTTTGACACTGCAGTCAGTGGAAATCATTTTATGTGTGGGGTCCTAACTAAGCTCATGTTGGCTGCTCAAAAGGCTGTCCCTAACAGTTTTAAAAGGCCCTGGCCTGCTAGCAGCTGGAGGTGCTAGGTTTTAGGTAGAGCCCTCCCACAGTGATGATTTGAGTGAGTCAGTGCCCAGTTATAAGCTAGTTGGGTAGGAGCCCTAGCTACACTTGGTGTATGGGAGCTAAACACCCCAAGCCAGCATATGTAAGGCCCTGGGCAGGGCAGGAGACCGGGTGGAGTGGACCTGTGCATAGGAGAAGCCTGCTGTAGTCATTCTGTCCCTTATGGAGGTGGGGGCTAGGGCAGATTGCAAAAGGCCTTTTAGGACAGGCTGGAGATCCCTGTGTGAGGTTGTTTCCCTGAAGGGTTCCTGGGGGAGAGATGCCTAGCAATGAGATGACTACAGAAAACAAAGTCCTGCGACTCAAACATTGGCCGATCGTGTGTTCACTGAACACACGAACAGTAAGGTCATTCAGCGGGCTGTTCACCCCATAATGCACTGTGCCCTAACAGTGCATTGCAATTTGCCAAAGCAATGCACCTGACCACAGACCAGGTGCAATGCTTTGGCCAATCACAGTGCATGATGATGTCACAAACCTGACTAGGCGTTCATTATTCTGTGCTGAAGTGAGAAAGAGAAAGTGAGAGGTATTCAACACCGGTGTGGGAACTGTTCATTCAGCAAGGGCAGACAAGCCTGGTATATACTCTGCCCTTGCAACTGAGTAAAGATAGTGCTGAAGATTACACTCCTATGCTATGCCTAGGTTTAGGCCCAGATTTAGACCTTGGAGGACCTGAGACACTTCATGTTTGAAGGGGGCCCTCATACACAGAGTCGGTTTACATTCTCAATGCATGACACATTGTCATTCTGAGAGCATGCGTGCACACACACGTGCAGTCATAGGCGACCTTCCTTAAGAGTGTCAGGGCTCTATGGTGTTGATATACTAAAGCTGGAGAGTGCAAAATCTGGTGCAGTTGTGCATGGTAGCAAATCAGCCTCTAACTAACAGCTTGTTCAATTAACCTTCCACGACAAAACGTGAAAGAAGATTGGCTACCATGCTGTACCAGATTTTGCATTCTCCAGCTTTAGTAAATCAACCCTTATGTGTGGTTCGCTTGAGCAGCCCAAATTCAGTTTTAAATATGATATAATATACCAGTCCAGAGTAAAAACTTTTACAGATGATAGCTGTCAAAATATTACTTCTCAAGATAAATTTCATAAAATAAAGTAATTTTGTATTAATATATATTTTATATTTGCGGACATCTATATATGTTTGAAATGTATTTAGTTTCCACTTAGGGGCAAATTTCAGTCTCTTATCCAATAAAGCAAGCTCATTAGGGGATAATTCCATACGACTGAGATTAAAAATACCGTTACCTATTATACTCTTCTTTATTTGGGGTCTAGTAACCCTTTTTCCTCCTCTTTTTCCTCTGTTCTTATACTTCTTTTCTGGTATTATCCCCCCCCCCCCCCACCTAAAAAATGAGAATGTTTAGACTGTCTAGTTTGATTAGTCTGATTGAAACCCGAATCATATCTCAGAGATGGGGAAACATTATTATCATAATCCCTTCTGTATTCCTGAAAATCAGGCCAATAGTAAGGACCCCTCCTATTACCACCTTGCTGGAAATATTGAGGGGCTCCTCTATTAATTTGTGGTGAGTAGTATTGAGACCCTGGGGGGTAAAGATTGTTAATGTTTTGTCCATTAAAGTACCCTCTTGGGCCTCTCCAATTCTGTTGATGTTCAAAGTTCTTTTTATTATTATTTTTATTATTGGGTCTAAAAAAACGGGCCTGAGATTGTTGTTGTGGACCTTCATGCTGATAATTCCTTCCCTGTTGTGAAGGATGCCAGCGCAAGTCCCTTGATCTAATATTTTCATCAGGGAGATGCTGTAGGGGACCGTATCTATTATTAACAGGGTTATTAAACCTGTTAGTAGATTGTGATCTAGCAGGGGACCTATATGTGGTCTCATGTTTAGGAGGTCCTATATTTGCAAACTGGGGGTGGTGTTGAGGATTATGTTTCCTATGATGGGTATGAGTGGTATTAGACAAGTCTGACTGGAAGGCCGAAGGTCTTCTAGGGAGGGATGGTGGAGCATTCTGAATCTCGTCTTTTGCTAACTGCCATTTAAAGACACAATTATCTTGATAGTCCTTATGATCCCTAGTATATTTTCTTCTCTTTTTTATTTTTTGTTCTTTCTCAGTGCTTTCCATATGGAGTTTAAGCCTGTCTGATTCAACCTTATACTCATCCTTTCCCTTGTAGGGAACCAGTCTTTCACGTACTTCATTTATCTCTGTATCTAAATGAATAAGCTTTTTCTTTTTCCTCAAAATAAGGAATTTAAGCAGATCTAAACCAGCATTATTGAAAAACTGGTACCACTCTACTTCACTATTGACGTCATCTGTTTCTGGGGGGGATATCCCAGCGTAAGGACCTAGAGATCATTTGCTCCTTAACATACTTCTCTAAAAAGGAGATGTCCCACAGCGTCCTTATTTCAGATGTCGTCAAATTTTGAAGATGTAAAAATAGACCATGTAGGTCATCTGCATAATTATTAAGGGAAAACACAGCATCTGAGATAGTAGATCTCATTGATCTCATTTCAAAATGTCCAATTTAAAAATTAATGAAAGGATTCCCTGTATTCCAAAAAATAAATATATAAAGGACTGTTTCTATTTAAAAAAATAATAATAACAATATTACTACCATTATTGGGGGTAAATATAGAACAGAGAGTGGTTGTTCAGCTCCACTGTTTTTATACTTGGATTTTTTGCTTCATTTCCACGTGGAAAGTTTATTTATAACTTTTTTACTCAATAAATCAGAATAATACTACATCATGAGCACCTTCTTTTTTGGCTCTTTATTGAGCTAACGATTTCCAGGATCCCAGTAGGATAATGGTTGCAGAGCAGTCTCATATCCAGAGGAGGGAGTCTCTTCCCATGCTGTCTGTCTGGTCCATCTAAAGGGGGCTTCCTGCAGATCCTTGGTCAATGTACCATTCAACACATTACGCTTTAACTATGCGCATCTGATGATTGAACATTTTTATCAATCTCCCGCAGGGATAGAAGTCACATGGGATAATCTGACACCACCTGTCCAATAGGACCCATTTGCAACACTATATTCTAACTGGTGTTTGTCAGACCTTCACCATTTTATGAACACATTTTGTTTTAAGACTGTCACAGCTGCACTTATTTTATTGCGCCAATTATAGCGCTTCATTCACTTATATTTGTTATCACTTATATTTATTATTGATTTATTATCATTATCACTAATCATTAATAATTATTATGCATTTTTTTAGTTATGCACTGTATCATCTCTTTTTTTTTTTGCGCTGCAATGTTTTTTGTCTGGATCCCAATTAATAAGCTGGATTGCTCTAACAGAGTTATCATTCGCCTCCAGTCAAACTATGAATCCAGTCTGGTTTTAATTATTAAAGGGAGTAGGTGTTTCAACTAGTTGGCAAGAATCTTAGAAAATACCTTCAATTCAGTATTTAATAAAAAGATTAGTAATTTTGAGGTAAGGTATGGTCTTTCCTTTCTTTTGTGAAAACCGTGATGTGAGCCAAAAGGGCATCCTGAGGGATTTGGCCCCCGGAAGCAAGGGAATTTAAGTATTTACACATACAGTATGTGGTTGAAGCCGTGAAAGGAGTCTGCATATTTATTCATGATTATGAAATATGTGTATAAGTCTTATTTTTATGTGTTTAATGATAGTTATACTGTTCCCTCCACACTCACTGACCACTTTATTAGATACACCTGTTCAACTGCTTGGTAA